TTAAGGGCTTGTTTTCCTTCTATTGTTTCTAAAAAATCATTCTGAAAGCCAATGTAATTTCACTTGAAATTAATATTAAATTGTACTAGTTGAAAATGGGTGGTATCTTACTTGGATTTATATATAGTTTGTAGGATTCCTAGAATTTCTGTTGAGCTTAACCCGGTGAGTATTTAAAACATGGTTTTCTTTGTGTTTTACAGTACTATTTGTTTCCTCAGTGACTTGTGTGTCCTACCAAAGGAGTAGAATTGGAGTCTTCCTAACTATTGAACACTTGCTGGGTTTTTTTTTTTTTTGAGTTTTATTTACATACCATAGCTTCATCTTACTAGTAGTGTGTTGTATGTATAAAGGGATAATCAAGTTTTGAAATCTGTTCCTTTGTGTTGAAGGAAAGGTATGCAGTTGACTTGTAAATCTGGAGTCTTCGTAGTAAGTGTAGCACAGAACACACCTTTCCACAGATTAAAATAGGAGATGAAAACCGTGAAGTTGACAAAATAATCAGGATGCAAAGTGGTACATTTAAAGCAAATAAACAAACCAACCAACCCACCCAAACATTAAGTGATAATAGTTCTTTGATACGGAAATGCAATTAAATTTAAGAAGTCTGTCTCCTGATAAACTAGGCACCTGGTTCTTTCCTTTTCCTGCACTTTTTTTTTTTCTCAAGTGAAAATCTGCTCGGGAGTGGGGTCAGACACAATTTTCCCTCTTTCTTCTTTTCTTGTTCCATTAGTTTTTATTAATAGATCTGGCATGAGCTATAAACTTACAACATCTACAAGCTGTCTCTCCCAGGAGTGGAAGCATCAGCATGTTAAGAAGTAATTAAATAACCCATTGCTTGAGTTGGGTGTTTTAAGTTCTTGCTTATTGACCTTTTGCCCAGCCACTGGGTAGTTATCCTTGAAGAGAAGTGTTGGATGCATACCATAGCAAGCAAATTTGGACAATATTGGCATTAGATAGAAGCTATCTGATAACATGCAGTAGATAAAGGGTTGCCAGGGGAACAAGAAAATGAGGGTTTGCAGAGAAGAATTCCCCTAGGAACAGATCATTGGTGCTACTTTTTGTTCAGCTGACAGAAAAGCTACAGCTTGACAAGTTAACGTTACAGGCAAATCTCCTGTATAGGAGGCTACACCATGATTCATAGTAAAGTCAGTTTATGTAATAAAAAGCGTCCGGACCACAGAATGCTTGAGCTAAGTAGTTTACGGATTTAAGAGCCTGATTGTTCTTGTCTTCTTATAATCATAGGTGTAGTTGCAATATCAGGCAGTGAAACAGAGGATGATGACACTATGGATGTCCCACTGGATCTTTCCTCATCTGCTGGCTCAGGCAAACGGAGGAGACGTGGCAATCTGCCCAAGGAATCCGTGCAGATTCTTCGAGACTGGCTATATGAGCACCGATACAATGCTTATCCTTCAGAGCAAGAAAAAGCGCTGTTATCCCGACAAACACACCTTTCCACACTACAGGTATTTAAAAAAGTAATTCTTGCTTCAAAAGGAGCTGTTTTCTCTTTTCTTTTTAATCTACTTGTGGTGTAGTCATTGATACAAGTGCATGTGAGATTTCCTTTTTTGATTCTTACTCACTCTCCTTCTGACAGCACTTGTAAGGAGAAATACAAATGACTCGTGTGTTATGATGATCTTTGTTTATTGAGAATAAAATTACTTCTCCGGGAGAACAGGCAGTCATGAATTCAAGCATGCATGCTAATTCTTGAGGAATCGGGCCCCAAAAGACATAAAGTGTCTGTATAACATAATTTATTGTGAGAAGAAGGTATTTATTTGTCAACAGAGGTTTTACGGTGATATGCAGCCTAATATATAACTCTTTGCTTCTAAAACTGCGGCTTGAGGCTCATTCCTGTAGAACATGCGTGTCTATAATTATGTGCATGATGACTTCCATAAAGATCAGTGGAACAACCTATATGGGATAGAGGTACTCAAGTGTGTTAGTGTAGGTATGGTGAGGCTTTTGCGTGGTTAGTTTGGATTCTCGTCCTGGGATACCAGCGGCAGCTGCCAAGGTCCCTTGGATGCATAATTCTCATCTGTGATCATCTTTGGTGGGCTACCTGGCGGCTTTCCACCTTGTGGGAAGGTGGCTGCATGAGAACTTGGGTAAACCCTGATTTGTTTTGGAGAGGTGCTAAATATAGAGCCCTCCTGTTGGCTTCTGGACTTCATTTTTCCAGATTAATTCGTTAGTACAAATTTCGTAATTGGCTATAAAGTAAAATTTCCTTAATGTAACATCATAAAGACGACCTCCTTTATGTAGTAAACAGAAAAAAGCCGTTAAACTATAAACTATCCTGTATCGCCCAGGAAACTGGTTTGATATTTAAACAAGGACAAACTTAAATGAGGTAATTCATGTTATGTCTGTCGACACAGTCAGTTGAACAAGGAAAATCAGTAACTATTTGTGGGAGGAGTGGCTCCCTTCAGAGAGAAAAGGTTTTCCTGTTGTTAATTAACCTAAGCGTCGGGAACAATAGCCAATAGGTTAATGTGTGTGCACAGAGTTAAAGGCTAAACCCCTCTGTTCGGGCTAGCAGTCTTCAGATATCCTGGGGCTTTCTGTAACAGGAGTGGGGAGCCAGGGGGTAGAGCCAGGACGAGGGAAGGGCCTTTGCCAGGCATGTCAGAACCTGTCACTAGGTCTCTCTTTTGTTCTGCAGTTGAGGAAACTGCTTGGAGGGATTCATTAATCTAACCCAACGACTCTAATGGCACGTAGTTGGAAATGAATGAAGGTAGAAATTAAGATGTCATTATATTCCCAGGTCTGCAACTGGTTTATCAATGCACGCCGCAGGCTTTTACCTGACATGCTGAGGAAGGATGGCAAAGACCCAAATCAGTTCACTATCTCACGGCGAGGGACCAAGCTTCCCGAGGGCGGCCTGGTGGAGTCTTCCATCAGCACAAAGAACTACATTCCCTTGCTGGAGGAGACGGCCTTCCTTCCCGCTGCCGCACCGCTCGGCAAGACTCTGTCCTCTTCCAAGCCGGCTTCCCCGGGATCGGTCCTGGCTCGGCCATCGGTGATTTGCCACACAACTGTGACTGCGTTGAAAGACGCTCCTTTCCACTTTTGCCAGCCAGCTGATGTAGGCCAGACCATGGACCTGCAGCAGCCCCCGGCCAACAGCTTCACAGACAACTCCCTCTCCTACCATGAGGACGCATCTAAACTGGGACCTGGTGCAAATGCACAAAGTGGGCTCTTTAACACTCCTCCTCCAACCCCACCAGACCTTAATCAGGATTTTAGTGGATTTCAGCTACTGGTGGATGTTGCACTCAAAAGGGCTGCAGAGATGGAGTTGCAGGCGAAACTTATGGCCTAAATTCCTCTTCCTTCTTCCCCGTTTTGTTTTTCCAGGCAGGGATCTCACAGCTGTGTGGTTATTGCCACCCACACAATATCAAAAGACTTCACTGCATTATTATTATTTTTTTTATTATTCTTATTTGCACAAGGGATTGCTGAAATGAAGCTTCCTGTCACTGAGATGGTCTTCAGTGGAATACGGTCATTCCAAGAATTATAAACTTAAAGCTACTGTAGAAAGAAAGGATTGTGTGTTGGGTTTTTTTTTATGTTTTCTTTGTAGGTTTTTCATAATGTGAGATGGTTCCCAAGATCATGTGATTTGTTTTTGTTTCTTTCAGACTGTGCAATATCTAGTAACAATATAGAGTCTTCTTATCATTCCCACGTGGAACAGAATATACCGACATGCTGTCTAAAATAAATTCTCAATTTTTTTAACAATATGAACTTTGGATGATTATGCTTTTTTCCCATAATGTAATAAAATATTTTCTTTAAAAATGGATGCATACAGAGTATTTTGTTGAATACGAGCTTTGCAAAAAACACAGCTTTACTCTTGAAATACATGGAAGTCAGAAATATTTTTGAGCTCATACTGACTTTGTTTGGTTTAGAGAGCTACGCTAGCCATTGTTGTTAACCAGATGTTTAAAGGAATGCTGAAAAGTGAGCCAGAAGTACCTGTGTTTTCCTATGTTGAATTTTTTTAAAGGGGCCAAATGTAAGCAAGTCTCATTAAATTTCAGGGGGATATCTTAGGCCCCTCTGAGGTCCAGCTTTTGGCTCCTAGAAATAATTCTGGACTGGGAGATGTGACAGCCCATGGGGAAGTTCTCCTGAAGATGAAATGAAGAGGCCAGAAGAGGGGTTGGATGAGTGTTCTTTGCAGGTCTTTGTGATACAGTTCCTAGACATCACTGGTGACAAACTTTGAGGAGGGAGGATAAGGGTCCCACTCTACCTCTTCTTGGACTAGCAGTGACAAGGTTTTGACTCAGTAATTCTAGTAGACTGAAATGGAAGGGACTGTATTGTGTTGAAGTCTGAGTTCTGGGAGCCAGGTCTTGGTGAGATACGTGAAACAAGTGGTTGACAAGATTTAGAAGAGATCCCTGTTGTATTGGGATGTGTATTTTGGCCAACAGAATCTAAGTTACCTTTCAGAAAAGGACTTTGCTGTCAGAATTACTTATTACTGAAAAATGTGAAGACTTGCAGCTCACATTTCCACTTGAATGTCGGTCACCCACCCTTATCCTTCCAATGCCACTGAAATAAGAGACCTCTAGGGGAAAAAAGTTGGTTCCAGCTAATGCTTAAAAACAAAACTGTTGTCTGTTTGGGAGGTCGGGGGATGGCTTTGCAAAGCAGGAGAGCTGATTAATTTAAGGATATCCTTGTGAGTAGAAGACTGCAATAAGCAGACTGCAACGAGTATGCATTTTGCTTTGCTGTGGCTTTTATCTTTAGCGTCAGAAATACTATGGTCTCTGGGGTACTCTATGTAATTCTACTGAACTTCTGCCTTTCTTTAACCTTCAAGTTCAAAATCAATGATTATATTTTTTAAAAAAAAAGACAAATAGTAAACACTGTGGCTTACTCATGTCTGCATCAGCTTCAGTAACAGACTCATCCTAATATACTGCATGAATATAGAATTTTTTAAAAAATAATTTCTATTGAAATAAAGCTAGAAAAAGTAATTTTGAACGTAGCCAGAGCTGACTGTATACTTTGTCTTCAAGGAATATAGCATGTGTGTCCAGAAAGAGCCCTGTGTCTTGTCTGTACTTTATGCTTATAGGCTATTTTTCCTGGGATACCTATGTATGTTTTTTAGTTATTTGTTTGGGTTTTTTTAATGGATATTTATAAAATAAAACAGAACTACACTTTTGTATAACTGTGAGGTCAATGTTGAGGGGAAAGTTGGTCAATAGACATCCTTTTGTGGCATCGATGATTGTCCTCAAAGGGTGCTAGACAGCCAAAGAGGAGTTGTTGTCTGTGGTAAAGGTTTGGAAGGTGCTGCCTTGTCCACATGCAGGAAGGAACGTTATTGCAACACTTCTTACGCCCACGCCTCAAGCATTGACGAAGGAAAAACAACTTCATGCAAATATATTTGCATTGTTTGATTTGAGTTCAACTTTTTCTTGGTGGTGGTTTTTTTTTTTTTTTTCCTCCTTTCCCAAAGCAGGTTGCTGGTGTGCTGTGAGGTAGAGAAAAAGTGGGGGGACTTTGATCATTAAAGGGCATTCTTGGAGATCTCTTCGTTACTCTGCCCTTTAAAATAAAAAGAACGTCAGCAAGTTCAGAAAAAAAAAATTTTGAGCTTTGCTGGCTGAGCTGACCAGTTCTGTAATTCCACTAGAACAGCTGCAGTACTGAAAATGAAAATAGGATGAGGAAGAAAGCTGTTGCCATTCAGGTTAACAGTTTTCATTGAAAGTAAAAGCCTATGGCCTCTGTGCTGTTTTCATTTACCATTATGCCACACAAAATGGCATTAGTGTGACTGCGCACCAAAGTCCTGCCTGTGTGATGAGCACTGCATTTCCATTTTGCTGACTGACTTACCCTGGGGACTTCACTTGTGACCAGTTTTGCTTGAGGCCAATGTTTTGTTGTTTTTTTCTCTTTTTTTAATTATTACTTGTGTTAAGGTTACACCTAGAAGTTCAGCTGTAGTCACAAACCAAACCCCTTTGGCTGAGTAGCACCTGGCGCGCTGTGTAAAAGCTTTTCCCTACCCTGAGGTGTTATTTAACTTGGAGGAAGAAAATGAGTCATATTGAGTACCCACTAAAATAATATCAAAAGGGAGTTTCTGCTTTCCTGTAATCTAGCACTGATAGTTTTGGTGAAGGCTATTGAAGTTTGCCTGAGCCTACTCTTTCAGAGCAGAACCTTGAAGTAACTCCAGATAAAATTATCAACAGTAGGTGGATGTAGGGCATCAGGTAGAGCTGGGATCCAGAACTGAGCAGGAGTCCTAGTGGCAAACCAAAGGCTTCATGCTCTAGCCACTCATCCCTGGTAGATCAAAGGAAAAGTCTATTTCTGGAAACATTTTACCATGGAGAAAAAAAAAAAAAGCGGCAGAAAGAAACAATGGTACCATGTGGGCGTTTTTTTTGCTGTTCTCGTAGTAGTGATAAACCTAATCACAAGGCAGCTGTGCCAAAACCTGACCTGTGCCTGAAAACACACGCTTGGGATGACTCTGAAGATGCAGGGAAGGCATTGCTGTGCCTTGCTGGAGACTGCATGGCCAGCCAGGGCGTAAGTGAGCGAAGAGGTATGACAAATCTCTGCCAGGGAAAACAGCTCACACACAGACTTCGTCAAGCTTGTTTTCATGGCTTGTGTGTCTTGTAAACAAGTTGTGGCAGCTGCATGTGATAAATCTGCGCAGAGCAAAAATAATTGCAACAGGGAGGGAAACTTCAGACTGGCGTCGCTGCCTGTGTACATGGGGGGGGGGTGTCTCGCTGCCTGTTTGGGAGGGGCTTGTGGTATCCCACACATCTCCCAGCTTCTGCCATGAGGTCAATGTACACGTCTATAAAACCGTTGAAGCTCTAACAGCTGGCCTCGTGCTATGGGGGAGGGAAGGGGCGCAGGGAGAGCTCGAAATCAGGATAACTCGCTTCAGCAGGGCAGCGCAGCCATCTGCAAGCTCCTGGGTGATGCTGGCTCTGTGGTCGGAGAGATTTTGCTGCCCAGGCAGAGGGGTGCAGGCAATAACCTCACTGGAAAAGGGTGGCAGGAGAAAGTAAGCAGAAACTGGGGAGAGAGGGCGTGGGTGGTGGTGGGAAATGATCACAGTTTTTCCCTTGGAGAGGAGGGAAGCCAAGCCAGCAGAAGGTGCAGTGCAGCTGGAAGCCCAGGTGCACCATGACCCTGTGAAGTGTCACTTTTATACCTGTGGTATTTAGGCCATTTGCAGTTAACTGTGTGCTGCCTGTCAAAGTCTGATTCCATTCGTCATTTTTCTCACAGCGCTTATGCAGTTTCCTTTTAACACTTCAAACTTATTCCTGGAGTACTTCGTAGTTCTCTTAAAGCTCATTTGGGTTTTCTTTTTTTCTACCTCTTCTTGGCATTTTGCAGTTGTCAACTTCCCTCCTGGCTTTTGCCAAATAGGGATTACTGGCATGAATGCAGCCCGTGTTCACTGCTCAGGACGTTACTTTTTTCTTGTTCACCAATTGCCAGAGTTGTTAGGTCTCGATCCTGTTTCGCTGGTTCAGCAGGCTCTTCTCTCCTGAGTTCCAGTGTTTGGACTGAAGGAGAAGAGATTAGATTAGCCACTCTCTCTAGTAAAACGTCACTTAAAGCTGTTGCTGTTCCAGACATAATAATTGCATCCATGTGTGCTGTGTGCAGTTCAGTGTCTATTCTGGTCCCTATCACAACAATGGGTGCCTGGTGTTCCACACACACAGAAAATCACATAAAGTGATGCTAGCTATACTACAAGTGAAAACTTGGACTACTTTTCTACATCTAAATTTTGCATGCATTCCT